ACTGTGTCGTGGAGCGATCGAGGAGGAGAGGGGAAGACACCCGCAGCGCAAGCAAGAAGGGCTGGTCGCAATGTGTTCGTTCGGTCCCTGCTGGTGATGCGTCGATTAAATCGGGGGCCAGGTTTCTTCAGGTGTGTGGCAGGATGCGGCGGCGGTGAAATGATCGACCACGTGGTGGCAGTGTTTGCCCAAGTGCCAGGTCAACAACGATCAGGGGGGCGAGGGGTCGTGGCACTTGTGGTGGCCGAATTGAGAAGGGAAAAAAGTGTTTGCTGCAATATCAATCAATATTGGCCGTCTCTCATGTCGGGCCAAGTTCGAATCGGTCCTCGGGGGTCGATCGAGTCGTGGGTGGGGGGGAGGTTGTTGTCAGGGGTAGGCTGGCACGCCAGATGAAGCTTTAGCTTCTAGTTGGCCTGGGGCTGGTCTAGATCGGGGGGGGGGAGAGGGGGGCGCGTCAAGTAGCGGCCCAGTGGGGAGACAGACCCAAGAGCTGGCTCTAGGGGACGGGCTAGCTAAATTGTACCGACCTAGAGACAAAGAGCAGCACCTGCTCGACGGGCTTTGGCTGAAGAATGCAGGCCGATGTGATCAGGACCGTCCAGCTCAGTCAGGTCAATACAGAGGATGATAGAGTTGGGTGATGCAGATATGAAATGGTGCAGTGCGAAGACAGAAAGAGAAACAACAACAACAAAAAAAAAAAAAAAAAAGGAGGCAGGTGGTGTCGCAATCTGTTTGGAATTGGATTGGTGGTGGCCTTATCTCGCGACGATCTTGGATGGCGCACATGATTTTGGTCCCTTCCGTCTTGTATGACCCTTGGCTCTTGTGTGGCCCCTGGCAAGCCTGGTTGAGTGATTGTCCAAGTGGCAGTGCTTCGACTTGGCCCATCTGGGCTCGATTCCAAGGGTAGGTGGCGTCAAACGGCCCGCCCGGGAGATTTAACGTGACGCATCGTCACCCTGGTTCTCCTGGTTCTTCTCACGGACTGGACAATGAAACATCCACCCGCGCTGCGACTGCCCGCGGTTTCTTCATCAGACCAGACGCCTAGCCTCTGCCCAAGTACCGACTCAGGGGTCTGCCTCTCGGCGATCGAGGGACGAGACGAGACAGCATCATCGCAGCGTTTGACCTTCTTCATCCACTGGCAGGCAGCGAAGAGCCATGGCTGTCCTGCCATCATGGACAAGCCTCGCATATCACAATCACCTAGCACAGGTCCGTCCCACCAAACGTCACCGGAAAGCTGCAGTCTAGTGTTACAGAGGCACACAGGCTAGACAACCGTGGTGGGAACCTCACTTAACACGCGACCCTCGCACGCCAGGCCACTGCTCCACCGTTTCATCTCCGCGTCCCACTTCTATCGAGTAGTCTCGACCGCCGACAGCATCGAGACGTTTGCTTTCCTCCTCCATGGTCGCACCCGCCGGGCACGTCGACCATCAACAAGCGTGAATGGTTTAGTGGTAAAATTCTCCGTTGCCATCGGGGAGCCCTGGGTTCGATTCCCAGTTCACGCACAGTAGAACGCCGTTCGGCGTCGTAGCAACCTTTTGACGTTCGTGTCCTCTACTTTTATACTTCTCTTTTGTGGGAATCTGGCCTATCTCGACAGCGTGGTACTATAGAGCAATCTTGTAGGGCTCATTATGTCAGCAGTCTAGCGTGGTATCATTGCCGCGTTTCCTCCGTGGCTACCTCATCTTCCATAATGATAAAGGGGACTACTGAAATACGGCTTCCAATGTTCATTGAATACTTTCACGCAATTTGGATTGCTGGCTGCCTCGTTCTGTTCGGATGATTGCGTCCTGCCACCGCCATCACTCTCCTCTTAACAAGGGCTGCCGTCATTCCAAGTCGCAAGCTTATATCTCCGCAGGTCCCTTGAGATTTCGATCTTGAACCTGCCGCGCCCCTCTTTCACATTCTCGGTCACCATCCACTCCGCCTGACTATCGTGCGCCAGTCAAGTTTGTTCGAGGCGACCCCTGTCTTACTCACGTTCGTCTCGGAGCATTCTCAACAGATAATAAAAAAGCAAGTGCTGTCTCATGTCTTTGGCAGCTCAAGAGTTATGTGAAGCCGACTAGGCACTATCCCCGTTCATCGACAGAGCGCAGTATTGCTTCACATGTTTGAAATCTACACATTTTCTATGCGTCTATGCTTTGAAGACATGCTCTGATTCCGCACCTTGTAGCAGACGCTATGACGGCGCCTACTGCAGACATCGCTGGCAAAGTAGCCAGCGCTGAACCCAACTTCTATGCCACCCATCCGTCCTACCTTTTCGACAGGTATACCGAAACCTACAAATAAAGAGGGTCATCTCTAGGGAGGGGGGGAGGCGTTCGAATCTAGAGTTTGTTCAGGTCTGCAGTATGCTAACCCTTTTTAATCTCTGAAATAGAAGCATGCTGTCATGGAGCAGCGTGTGCTACAAGTCCGCAAGAGCTCCGCCAGGCAGACCAAATGTATTCCCGAAACTACTATAAAAGTAAGAGTAAACGACGAGGTGGAATATAAATCGACCTATTATGCAGGTTTCACTGCGTTGGCGACTTCACATGCGTCGGAGGGCCCCGTTCAAGGCTTCAACCGTATGGAGGATGAAGCCTTGAAGTTTGGGCATGCAAAGCTTGACTGTGTGGTCACGGAGCATTGCATTTCTTCTAGTACAAACACTTAAAGTGTGATGCTGAATTATACAGAATGGAGGCCCCGGCACAGAGTGTCCATGAATCATAAATGAATCACGGCGTCGAGCTGAGCGTGGTTATATGTGTCTGCGAAGTTTCAACATAATACAACGACAAACTGTCCCAGCACAGAAAATTCTGTTCACTGTAAAATTGCTGCCTTCATTGATAAGTGATTTGAGATAAGTTCAACTTTGGCTGCTGTTGCAAGAAGTGACGGGAATGGCCTGGGTCAGACACTGAAGCTGGTGGTGACAGTATCCCGCTTAGCAAACGACGAAGGCTGTAAGCCGTGTTCCAATCAGCCGCGAAGTTACCCCATGAGATCAACGAGAGGATTTCACATTAAAAAAGTGTCAAATGAGATGCACCACGAGCAAAAGCTAATGCACTGCGTGAACTGGGAATCGAACCCAGGGCTCCCCGATGGCAACGGAGAATTTTACCACTAAACCATTCACGCTTGTTGATGTACATGGCCAGTAGAGAGGGATATAGAAAGTACTCAGTTTGTTCAAGCTTTTGCAAGAGAGGCAGACTGGCCCTGAACAAGCCAAATACTAGCTAACTAAGCTTGGAATCATGACGCAACTTCGAGCAGTGATGCCCAAGTGGCATCGGAAACGCAGTTCTCCACGCATATGGTATCTATTGTTACATATCTACTTCCCCCATCGTACAACATAAGCCATGGTACATGCATGACTTCCAGGTCTTCTAATCCTCCAAGGGGTCAGACACGGCCAGGTCATCGCCCAGCCTTCCAATCAGCTCGGCGTGCGACGGCCTGAAGGGCCACTTCATGAAAGCGTCCAGTATCTCCATCCACTGCTGCTCGTTCAACAACCGTGAGCACATCCCAGACGGCCCTGTGCCAGGCAGGCCGCCCTTCGCCGGGTCGCGCAGGCTCGGGCAATTCTCCAGAATGCCCTCTCGTGCCCCAGGCCACAGCTTGTCCAGCGTGTCCTCCACTGGATCGAGCGACGATGACAGCATTGACCGCTGGATCAGGTCAAAAATGTCACCCGTGGCGCTGGACCCAGAGCCCACGTTGCGCAGGAGAGGGTGCATGGCCTTGGGCTGGATGTCGAGCAGCGCCGTCTCGACGTTGGGGAAGAAGTCGCCCGGCTCGACGCGCAGCGGCTCCCACGGCCTGCGGTCATATAGCAGCGCTGGCGGATCCTGGCGGAACAAGAGGTAGTTGTCGCGCAGCAGGTGGTAGTCGGCCTTTGAGTTCTTGGGCAGGGCCGCGACGCGCTCGCTGTACGCCTTCTCTCGCGCGGCGAACTCGTCGGCCGTCAGCTCGCCCCTGCTGTGGAGACGGGTGAGCTCCTGCTGCTCGTGGATCAGCTCGTCGAAGATGGCGACCTCGCGCTCGTTGCGAATGAGCTGATTGGCGAGGATCGCGCGCCGGGCGTTGCCTTTGGATTTGGGGGCGCCAAGCTTGTCTTCGGCTGCGAGGCGGTTGAGTTCATCCAGCTCTGCGAGGTAGGGGCGTACGACGTGCGTGGACTCTTTGCCGGCCAGGGGCTCGGTGCCTGTGTGGTTCTTCATGACCTCGTCGGTCAGGGCCATTCTGCGGTGAGACGGCGGCTCATTGATGCCTGCGGACTTCATCCGGGCGAGGGTGTTACGCGAGCTCTCAATATTGATCCACTGGTCGCGGGCGTACATCTTCTTCAGCTGCTCGGGGGTGACCTTGAGTGAAGCTGGGTCCTTGCCCGCTACCTCGGCGAGATACTCGCACGAGAACTCGGCCTGGAGGGCAGTTTTCTTTCGGTTCTGTACGCTGCGCGGCAAGAAAGTGCGCTTGTCATCGTCGTTGATCCAGAGGAGCATGCGCACGAGGCCATATTTCTGGAAGAGGGAGCCGAGTCGAATGCTTGTGAGGAGCTGATATAGTACTAGTACAGCGACCGAGTCGAAGTTACGGAAACGGCGTTTAGGGTAAAAGGATAGGTTGGCGGTCACAAGAAGGGTATCATTCCGTGAGGGTTCGGTACCAGAGCTTTGGGGCTGTTCGACCTGGTGTTCGAGGTATCCGAGAGCCTTGGTGAGCTCGGTCCAGAGAATCCCCGATTCGGGAACGAGTTTTGCGCCGGGCTCTTGCAGGAGGGGGTCGAGAAAGGGTTTATAGAGCTCAGCATCGGGTTCCATGAGGATGTGGGAGCGAGGCTTGAGAAAGTCGTTTAGCTTCTTTGACCAGACTCCCGCACCGGGATTGATATCGAGCAGGTCGCACCCAACATGACGTTCCAGTGACGGCGCAATGTAGTCTATAACATCATCTGTATGGGATCTCTCGTCAGCGACACTGGGGGCCTCCGGCCAAATGCGTAGGATGTTAGCCGTACCGCAGAACTTGTCATTGGTTATGTTGACCCGCGCCCGGTCGCCCTTAGGCTTTGCCTTTGTGGATTTTTTGCGAGTCTTCTCCTTCTTTTCGTCCGCTTCTATCTGTTCTCGCGTTCGCCGCCTCGAGATGTAGGACCACACGCCGGTGTCCGCAAGCGATTTGGCCGTTGGATTGGGTGTTTTGAGAAGGTCTTTCGGGAGGCTCGATGCCGATCGACGGCAAGATAGAGCCGCTATGCTGCGAAGCAAGGGGGAATTCGGGCGCACATTGCTACGACAAAGCCACATCTAGACAAAAGAAAGACAGAGCTTGAAGGACCGCGTTTTGAACATGGAGTATCGAATGTTTGGAGCCGTCGCAAAACATCGGCCGAGTGCAATGCACACTTCATCAGTCCTTACGATAAGGAACCGATAAGCCTCCACCCCACACTGAGCTCCTGCATAACGGATTCATCCTTAGTCATCCATCTCTGGTTACTTTTTACCCTTCTTATGCGCTTTTATGCCTTTCCTAAAAATCGAGTTGAGGGGCCATGTATCATCTGTAGATGCATGTGAGACAAATCACATAACTATGAGACCAGAAAAGAGCATTTTCCTGAAGCATCCTCACAACCTATAAGAGTTCCAACTTATATAACTTATACATCAAAGAGTGTAACGGAACAAGGGGCTCCTGTCCCCCATCTTCAGGAGCTGATCCTGGGTGTACCGAGCCCTGATATCCTCCTCCGACAAGGCCTCCTTCTTCTTGTTGCCCCATTTATACGCAGCCTCAGCAGCGAAGGCCATGAGCAGGCCGCTTAAGCCGAACGCCAAGCTGAGACCGAACCCAGTGTTGTACATGGGCGCGTCCGAGTCGAAGAACATGTAGCTGCCCATGATACCGCCCATGTTTCCCAGGGCAATGTTGAGGGCCAAGCCGACGGCGCGGCGCGACGCCGGCGCCAGGTTGTTCGCTGCCCAGGACGTGGCGGCCGGCATGGCCGGGTAGATGCCGATGCATGCAATGACGGCGGCAAAGTAGGACGGACCAATCTGGTTTTCAAAGTTGCCGCGAAGACCGAGCATGATGCTGAAGCCGACGCAGACGCAACTGAACGGGATGACGACGAAAGGCATCCGCCAGTAGTAGCGGTCCGAGAATTGGGAGAACACAATGGATGAGATGGCGCCGGCGACGTAGGGAGGGGCTGTCATCAATTGCGCCTGTGTGTTTTCGAAGCCCATCGAACGTGTTATGGTCGGGAGATTGAATTTCGTGCCTATCGCAGGTCAGTCAATCAGTCAAAACTATCACGGAGCTTTGATGTCGTCGAGTCTGATGCAGTTTAGAACGAGACCAAACGTACCGTAGCTCATGGCCGATTGGCAGAACTGGATGTAGGCCACCAGCCATAGTCTCCAATTGAGGACGCAAGCCTTGAGATCTTGCCATATGTACTTGTCCTCTTTGGCCTCATCTTGGAATCGTCCTCCCTGCTTGATGAAGTGCTGGAGCTCGAGGAACCGAATCTCCTCAGGGTCAAGCCATCTCCCACTGAGCGCAGGCGTGTCTACCAGGCAGAAGAACGTCATGATGCCCAGTGCCACGGTAATGATACCCTCAATGAGGAAGATCCAGCGCCAGCCCTCGTAGCCGCCGACGCCATCCATCTTCGCAATACCTGCGGCCAGCAACCCCGAAAAGGCACCAGACAGTGCGCTCATGCAGTAGAACCATGAAATGCGCGAAGCCAGATCTCGTGGCATGTACCAGAAAGTGCAGAGATAGACAGCGCCAGGAAAGAAACCGGCTTCGAAAACGCCGAGAAGCATGCGCAGAGCGAGGAGGCCGCCGAAATTCTGGACGACTCCGTGGAGGGTCATAATAACGCCCCAGGTTGTGACCAGTATGCCCATGTACAGAGATGGACGCTTGAATCGCTTGAGTAGAACGTTTGAGGGTACTTCGAGGAGGATGTAAGGGACGAAGAAGAGGGACAGGACAATGTTCCACTGAATACCGCTAATTCCGAGATCGACGTCTATGCCCTCAATCTTGGTGTTTCCAATATTGGAGCGGTCGAGGTGGGAGATGAGGTACAACACCGCAAGCATGGGAGTCAAGCGTACATCGACCTACAGACAAATCGTTAGGACTGCAGCTCTCAGACTTCCATCCCGGCACAGGCTTTTCAGACTTACTTTTCGCATTGTTCGCTTTCTCTGTTCCGGTGTGTAGTTCTCATAGAAATGAACATCGTCGTCAGTCAGACCCAGGACGTGGAACGAATCAATGACCCGAGCATGAGGTGCCTTCTCGGGCACGTCATCTGACACGTCGCGGTTGTCGTCCACGAGAACAATTTCGGGCTTCTGGGTCGAGGGATTGTTGTTGGCCATTTTCGCAGCTTGGGACAGGCAGCCCTGCGTCAAAATGAGGCGCAAATGGTGCAGTATCTCCTCAACTTGACCCAGATTCTCGTAGTTGAGAGAGTCGCGAGATCAAAAAGGCTGGCTATCGAACCGCAGTTCCAGACTAAATGCGCGCGAGCGCCGAGCTTTTGTAGTCTGCCATCATCTGTGGCATTCCCTGGGGAACATCCTCGCCGTGGCACATGGCGCAACAGATTTGCCCTCTCCCCTTCGCCGCAGAAGCTTAGGTGCGTTTGTGGAGATACCAAGACAAATCTACGTGGTGGATCGCGCGGGGTCTAGCAATTGATGCGATGGAATCCGTGGCAATGATTCTCTTCGCGCCTGGATGGTTACAAGTTGCCCCAGGTTGAGGGAACAGAAAGCTGCTCAGACTTCCAAGACTCGTCTTGGCCTTCGTGGAGACTGGGAAACTGGGCTCTTGGCAGTCTTATGGCCACCGAGCCGAGACGGAAAAGACGGATTTACTCGCATCGACAGACTGCGGGGCCCCGGATCTCAAGCTCGGCAAATGGGCGTCGCATGGAGAATCTCCAGTCTCCCCGCAGTTCTCCAGTATTCATTCTTTATCCGTCCCATCCCCAGCCAGTTTCCGCCTGGCTCTTCACTCTTTTCAATGTTTCTCCAGTTGACCAGGAATCCGCCCCTATCGCCCGCTTGAAACGACCCGAGAATCTTTGCCCAGCCCAGCCTGTGCAACTGGGATCAGCAGCAATGGATTCACAAGCACCAACCCCCACAGCCGCGGCCGCGGCTCGCGTCTCCAAATCGACGCAACATTCGGCGGAGAGCGCGTCCGGTTCTTCACCTCAGCGCATGTCACGCAAACGCAGCCTTTCGACAGCAAACGGCGACACGCTGGGCTCACCTGGCTCTGATGACACAATTACCCACAACCACGGACGAGGCAGTAAGGGCCACAAGGTCAGCAGGGCATGTGATCACTGCAAGCAACGCAAAGCCAAGTGCAGTGGCACAATACCATGCGCGACCTGCTCCAATAGGGGGCTGACGTGCCTCTATGCGGCTCGATACTCGAGGGGCCGCCCGCCGACCCCGCCACCGTCACGGGATCATCATCCGGCGGCAGCTCCGACTCACCATGTCAATGCAAGACTTGACCACCAGACTGAGCCCCGAGTTACTGTATCTCAACCTGAGAATATGCGCTTGAGCGTCAATCGTCTCAGTGAGAGTGTACCAGCGTCCCGTGCGTCCCCTGAGCTCGGTATGGCGGAAATTGAGGGACAGGTTTTTGATCCCACATCCGGCGTCACCTTTCTCCACCGAGCTTGGAAAAGGCTAGCCAAGCATGACGGTGCCGTTCCTGTCAATGATTCCCATGCCTACGCTTCCGTCCAACACCAACCTGTTATGCTGGCCGGAGACAGACCTCTGCCCCAGACCTCGGAAGAGGACATTTACAGGTTGAACTTGCCCGGCCATCAAGACCTTGTGGATCTGCTGGCCATGTACTTTGATGTCTGCATTGCAACATACCACATTGTGCATAGACCTACGGCACAGTGTTGGCTGGAGACCATCGAAACAAACGTCCAGGGGGGACAGGTACCTTGGCAGGGTCTTGGCAGGGCCAGGACGTCCATCGTACTAGCCTGCCTAGCTGTAGCGACGGCACATCGTCAAAAGTCGCGTGGTCTTGCTTCCGACCAGGTCGACGTGCTCTCGCTGTCTCCAAGCGATCACCTCTTCTGCGTTGCTGCTCAGCTCACGGACGCGGAAACCGGGTCCCCGCGACTCGAGTCTGCTCAGGCGCGAATAATCCAAACCTTGTATCTCCTGACCACCTCTCGATTCAATCGAGCTTGGTACACCTTTGGCAATGGACTGCAGATCATCTCAGCATTGGGTCTCCATCGAAAAAGTGCGAGAAAGCGCCAGCTCACTTCGAGCCCGGTCGACTACATCCAGTCGCAATTCCGTGTTCGAACCTTTTGGACAGCGTACATCTTGGACAAGTACCTTGGCGTGATATTCGGGCGTCCAAGGCATTACCATGATGACGATATTGATCAAGTCTTACCGGACAAGATCGACGACGACGATATGACAGCCCAGGGACCCATCGCTGTGGGCGGTGAGCAGGCAGGCGCTGCAGCAGAGGCTTTGATATTTCACATCAAGTAAGGCTTCCGACCCGAATTCAGATATCATGACTGATAGTTTGTTAGGATCGCCCAGATCATCAGCAAGATATCGCGTGAGGTCTACTCGATCAAACCCATATCGGAGGAAGAACGCATCTCCGCCGCACACCGACTTAGCAAAGAGGTCCACGAGTGGAAGGAGAGCCTGCCACCGTATTTGGGCTCCATCCATCCTTCAATGCTAGTTCCAAGCTTCAGGCGGAAATCGATCGTCCTCAAGCTTGGCTACAGTCACGCCATTATGCACGCTAACAGGCTGTTCCTCCTGGCGACGGTGTACCCGGAGAGTGAAACTCAGATTGCCGAGTGTCTGGGTGCCGCTCGCAGCGTGTTCGAGACGGTTGATGGCCTAGCTGCAGAGGGCCCAATCTTTCACGCCTTTTGGTGGACGCAGTATGTCACCTTTTGCGCCTTGGTAATCTCGTATGTCTGGGACATACAACTCAAGCGAAGAGGCGTCGTGTTGGTGGGAAAGGAGCAAGCCAAGCATACGAGATTGATGGAGCTTGCGCGGCGGTGCCAGACGCATCTTGCCAAAGCAACGGCCACAAACTCTCCCAGTCGGCGGTATGCCGTAATCTTGGAGGAGTTTCGTTCCGAAGCCATGGGCAATCCGCCAGTGCCCGGTGGCGATAGTGGTCAACTGGCTGAAGTGCAGCCGGGACAGGCGATGCACTCTGAAGCGCAGGTCGGGCCGCTGCAGGATGTGTCCTACTATCAACTGCCGGGGCCGGAGGGGTTGGACGTGCCCCTGGACCCTAACGGACAGCTTGGACATAGTCTTCTGGATGAGTGGCATACGACGGATTGGCTCGACCTGGATTCCTCAGCGTTTGGCCCATACATGGATTTTGAACCGAGTTCCCTCCATTGGATGTCGGACATTGGTATCTAGCCTGTTTTATCTAGCCTGTATTCGATTTGTTCTAATTCATGCCCCTCTACACGGTGAACTTCGTCTTGTTCTCCTCTGCGGCCTCTTGCGCTACTTTCTTGGCCTCCTCTTCTCCGACCTCCTGGAAGATATCGAAGCCCCACCTCGTCTGCCAGTTGAATCGCTTGTTCCTCTCCAAGCCGTTCAGCTTCTCAAACACATCAGCAGGAAGTTCTCGTACTTCAAAGTTGCTCTTAATACGACTCGGTGTGACACTTTTTGGCAACACAACGGTTCCGCGCTGCACGCCCCAGGCCGCGAGAAGCTGCCCCCTATCAACGCCGAGCTCATCGCTGAGCTCTCCAACCAGCGGGTCGTCAACTGTCCGAGGCTCGCCGGTCTGGTTGTTGCCGAGCGGAGAGTAGGCGGTCAGCACGATGCCTTTTGACTTGCAGAAGTCAAAGAGCTTCGGCTGTTGAAGGTAAGGGTGTGCCTCGACCTGGTTGACGGCCGGCACGGTCTTGGTGGTTGCGAGAAGAGACTCAAGTCTATTGATAGTGAAGTTGGAGACACCGATGGCGCGGACCTTTCCAGAGGTCACGAGCTTCTCCATGGCAGCCCATGTAACCGATGGGTCAATATCTGCCAGCGCAAACACGCCATTGTCCTCAAGGGGAAACCACTTTCCAGTATTCTTGAAAGCGCTGATGACTGTCAGAATGTAGACAAACTCTCCGTTGGCGGGATCACTCACACTGGCCAGTGCATCAAGAACAAGTCGAGGTAGTCGGTACCGAGGTCGTGTAGCGTTTTGTTGACACCGGCCTCAACATCTTCAGGTGCGTGATTTGTGTTCCATAATTTGCCAGTAAGGAAGATTTCAGATCGAGGCACACCTGACTTTCGGATTCCTTCACCGACTTCTGCCTCGTTGCGGTAGATCGCGGCGCAGTCAATATGACGGTAGCCGGCCTTGAGAGCAGTCTCTACCGCGATTTCGACTTCACCAGGTTTGGCCTGCCAGGTGCCGAAACCGACGGCGGGGATCTTGGCCCCTGTATTGAGGGTGAGATGTGTTGCGAGAGGCATATCGATGACGAGAGGAAAGCAAGGGTGAGGATGGTAGGTCCGATGAGAGCCGGTTCTGCGTGTGGACAGTCACAACAGTTAAAAAGACAGCAAAGTTATAGTTGGCATGTATCCCAGCTGCACCAGCCAAACGTCTACGGAATACGTCCTGTTTGTAGTAAATTGAGAAACTGTCGTCGTAGGCTCGTTCCTAATTGGGCGGAGAAGCGATCACAGGCTCAATCGGGAAATCCGTCGAATCCGTCAAATCCGTAGGCTGCCCAAGCACATCGGATTTGTGCCCCTCATTTTGGCATCAGGGACATATCCGTTACTTAGCCTCATAATCTGGGGAAAAGCGGGTTCGATTTATCCGCATCAATCTGCGTCCTATCCGTCTCTGCCGATGTGCCGTCTAAGATCTGCTGACGGCATTTCAGTCTGATGGAAACGGATATGACAGACTACCCTGGTTGTGAATTCATAAGGACAGCGACCCTTGGCTCTCAAGTGGCTTTCGAGAAGATAGGCCATTCTCTTGAACTGCCTCCAACCGCAACTGAACACCAATTCCACACATGGCGCCTCCATCAGTCTATGGGCCCACGGGTCTAGTCAGCCCCAGCAACTCTCCACTGCAATCATTCGCCAATCCCCAGACAGCCATCGTTGAAGATGATTCCACAATACAGACCGTGGATGAGCTCGTTCGACGGAGGGCACGAAGCCATCCTGACAAGGTGATCGTGTCCTACCCCTCCACGGGTATTGAATACGTCGACTACACCATGCGTCAACTTGACGTCTTCGCATACCGCGCGGCAAAGTCATACCAGCAGTCACTTCCCGCGCGCCGGTCTTCGACAGAAAAGCCAATGACGGTCGCAGTCATCGGGCCGTCAAATTTTGAGTATCTCATCACAATGCTTGCGATGACCAAGCTGGGACATACTACACTCTTTCTGTCGACCAGGATCTCACAGGAGGCTGTTGAGAACTTGATAAAGACGACCGGGGCGCAGGTTCTCATCGCGGATCCTCGCCACGCTGCAACCGCAGAAGTCGCTCAGAAATCGCTTCCAGGCCTGGAAATTCTTGAACTCGTGAATAGTTCAGCCTTTGATTTCGAGATTGAGGTTCACGCAGACACGCAGCTGGATGCTCATCTCGACCCAGCAATCGAGACAAACAACCGTGTCTACATTATCCATTCAAGCGGTATAGTTCACCCAATATCACTCAGAGCCCTCATACATTTGGCTAATTCGGTGCAGGTTCCACGGGCTTGCCCAAGCCGATTTATCAGACTCACAAGTCAGCAGTTGCCAACTACGCCTGGAGCATGGAGATGAAGGCATTCATTACGTTGCCATTATATCATAACCACGGCATCTGTAACCTGTATCGCGCGATCCACTGCGGCAAGCAGATTCATCTGTACAACGCTGATCTTCCCCTGACCCACAACTACCTGGCTAAGATCATGCGAACACACCGATTCGAGATCTTTTACGGTGTACCATATGCACTGAAGCTTCTCTCCGAGACGGACGAGGGCATGTCCCTCTTGCGGGATCTCAAGGTTGTCATGTATGGAGGCTCGGCTTGCCCCGATGACCTTGGAGATTCTCTGGTTGACCACGGAGTTAACCTCGTCGGCCACTATGGAGCGTAAGTTACCCGCCTTGTCACTACAGGATTTGCATTCTGATGATCTGCAGTACCGAAGTTGGTCAATTAATGACCTCTTTTCGCCCCGCGGATGACAAGGGTTGGAACTACGTGCGTGAGACGCCCAAGCTGTCTCCATATCTTCGATGGATACCTCGCGGCGAGAACCTCTACGAGTGCGTTGTGCTCGAGGGCTGGCCCTCCAAGGTAGCCTCAAACCAGGACGATGGCTCTTACGCGACAAAGGATCTCTTTGAACCCCACCCTACGATCCCCAAAGCTTGGAAGTACATTGCTCGCCGTGACGATACCATCAATCTCGTCAACGGTGAAATGTTCAACCCCGTATCTACCGAGGGAACCATTCGCTCCAGCAAAGATGTGACCGAAGCAGTCATCTTCGGTGTTGGCCGATCGGCCTTGGGTGTGTTGATTGTCCCAGCCGCGTCGCTCGGGGGCAAGACCGAGGAGCAAGCCTTGCATGTCATCTGGCCCGTGGTTGATGCTGCATGCCGCAACGTCGAGGCCTACGCCAAAATCCCCAAGAGCCTCATCAAGATCCTACCCTATGGCTGTGACTACCCCAGAACCGATAAGGGCAGTGTTATTCGCCAGGCGTTTTACAAGACCTACGCCAAGGATATTGACGAGACATACGACAAGGCGGATGCCTCTTCCGGCGATCTTCAGAAGCTCACCCTGGAGCAACTCCGCGAATTCGTCCGTCAGTCCGTATTCAAGGCATTGGGCAAAGAGACTCCCTTTGAGAATGATACAGACTTCTTCTCGCTCGGCTTGGACTCGCTGCAGGCCATTCAGATGCGGAGCGACATCTTGAAGACCATTGACGTGCAGGGCCACAAGCTTGGACAGACGGTGGTTTTCGACCATCCTTCGGTGGAGAACTTGAGCGCGTACCTGTTCAGCCTTTCGAGCAACGAAACGGCCGTAAAAGAAACGTCGGTTGAAAGTGAGATGCGCAACCTCATCGAACGATACTCCCAAAAGCCAGCATTGAGTGACCGGGTCCTTTCCGCCGTCGCCGTCACTGGCGCAACAGGCTCGCTTGGAGCTCACGTCGCTGCAAAGCTTGCCCGAGACCCCACGGTCTCAACCGTGTACTGTCTTGTACGCGCCAAGTCCGATAGCGAGGCTGCCCGGCGCGTGCAAGCGTCTCTGATCCAAAGACGCATCTACCACGGCCTTCGACTCGCCGATCGCCAGAAGATTGTCAGCCTGGCGTCGGATCTCTCAGACGACCAGCTCGGCTTGACGACCGCGAACTACACCCAACTGACCGAGACCCTGCGGTCCGTGATCCACTGCGCATGGTCCGTCAACTTCAACATGCGCCTTTCAAGCTTTGAAAAGTCCAACATAGCCGGCGTCTCGAACCTCATCTCTCTCTGCAAAGCGACGCCGTCATCGGCCGCAACGTTCAACTTCTGCTCCTCTGTCAGCACTGTCGTCCGCGCGACGACCGTCCCCGTTCCGGAGTCTCTTCCGGAGCTCGAGTGGGCGCAAGGCATGGGCTACGCCCAGTCCAAGTGCGTCGCCGAGCACCTCTGCGCCCGTGCCACCGAGCGCGGTGTCACGGCGCGGGTGCTACGCGTCGGCCAGATCGTCGCGGATACGAAGCACGGCGTCTGGAACGACACGGAGGCGATCCCGCTAATGCTGCAGGCGGCCGTCACGATCGGGGCGCTCCCTCGGCTGAGGGAGACGCCGTCCTGGACCCCCGTCGATGTCGTCGCCGCCGCCGTGTCTGAAATCTCTCTCTCGGACGCCGGTGGTGTGTTCACCAACGTGACGAACCCCAGGGTGTTCGACTGGACGAATGACTTACTGCCAGCGCTGAGGAGGGCGGGGCTCGAGTTTGAGGAGGTCGAGCCCAAGGAGTGGGTGAGGCGTCTCCGCGCGTCGAACCCTGACCCGGCGCGCAACCCGCCGATCAAGCTCGTCGATTTCTTCGCGTCCAAGTACGACAAGACAGAGTTCGGTCCATCCAAGTCGTATGTCACCAACAAGGCCTGCGAATTGGCACCATCGCTGGCGAGTGTAGGCGTCCTGGACCAGCAGCTTGTCGACAATTTCGTGACGTACTTCAAGGCCAATGCCTGGGCGCAGCCTGCCGGCAAGCCCGAGATGAAGAAGACGGTTGTCATCGTAGCGGGACCATGCGGAAGCGGCAAGTCCACGCTGGCGGCAGTCTTGTCTCACAAGCTCAAGGTTCCCTTCATCGAGGGCGACTTGCTTCACTCCCGCGCCTCGGTCGAGAAGATGGCTGCATCCCAAGCCCTGACAGATGCGGACCGCTCTGCCTGGTTGGAGCGTCTCGGCAAAAGAGCCGTCGAAACCATCTCCGATCTCGGATACGATTCGGTAGTTCTGAGCTGCTCCGCTCTGCGTCGGCCTTATCGAGATGCTTTGAGGCAGATCGTCGGTCAAGATGTGCAAACCATCTTCCTGGACCTGCAAGGCGAGCCTGAACTGCTGGCCGCTCGCACAAACGGCCGTGTGGACCATTACATGCCCTCGACTCTGGTGGATAGTCAGGTTGCGGTCTATGAGACACCTGATGTGAACGAGGTTGACGTACTCCCTCTAGATGCTGCACCAGCACCGGAAGAGGTGGCTTCCGAGGCATTGTGGCTGTTGGGCCTCAAGGGTTTGGTGTTTTGATATTTTGCATAAGTATGTATGGCAGCCTCGGGTTTGTCTGGTTTGGCGATTCACAAGCCCTCCAGAAAGATTTACCTATGGAAAACAATACCACAGGAATCGAAACATCTATTACCACGTCTAGATTTTGCGGAGCCCAGAAGTGATGCCCTTCTTTACCAACTCCTGTTGTTGTTGAACACCTGTCTCCGTCTTTCGGAGGGACATATCACGTTCGCCCTGCACATCTTACCCGTGCTTTCATCAACATGCCACTTATCCGCTCCAGGAGTCCGCCTCGAGTAGAAGACTCCCTCAGGATCCCACTTCTCCTTGACATCAAGCAGTTTCTCCCAATTCTCACCGTACATCTCTCTCCTCCAGCCTCTCATATACGCATCAGCTTCATTGCTGTAGGAGCCGCCCTCGGGAGCAACCTCCGTCAGCAGTGGGGCCAGCTCGTCGCGGAACATCTCCACCTTGGCTTGCATCTCATCCTTTGCGGCGTTTTGCCATGGCCAAGTCATGATGACGAGAGCGTCGGCGTCGCGCCACGCAGGGTGCACGGCGGTGGGGTTGTCGGTACGTTGAAGTGGACGCATGGCGGTGCTGGAGGTCAAGGCACCTGACGAAACGATGCGGCGCATGATGGAAACGAGCTCGGCTCGTCGCGAAGCAGACTTGAGCACTGCACGGGGAATAATCCGACCGCCGGAGGGGTACTCTTTGGTTGGTTGGGAGGTGGCCATGTTCCGCTCTACATGCTCCATGTATGTGGGTACCTCGTTGAAGGTGGTGTAATGCGCAATCTTCCTCTCAGCGAGATACTCAGTAAATGGAGAGAGGAGAACCTCAACCTGAGCTGCTGTCTTGTTGTAGGCCGAAAAAGGGAAGAGGCCAAAGTGCTGCGGCCCATAGGCATAGGTCACGTAAGCGCCGGCATCCGTGAATGTAGGGATCAGCGAGTAAAACTTGTCAACCATGGCCCAGAAGACATCCGGCGCCAACGAGGAAGGATCGATGAACATGGAGGCGGCACCCATGGTCAGCATGGGGTAGACGCGAGCCGTCATGGAGACAACGACGCCCCAAGTGCCAGCGCCGCCGCCGTTGAGAGCCCAGAACAGATCGGCATTGGTGTCTCTGGACGCTTTTACAAGCTGGCCCCCAGCAGTGATGACCTCGAATTCGAGTGTCTGGTCGGCAGCGAGGCCGTACACTGAACTCAAAGGGCTGTGACCTCCACCCTGGACGTAGCCGCCCGCAGGGCCGACGGAGGAACAGTAACCGGCAACCATGACGAGGCCTTTGGTCTCTAGATAAGATTGGGCCTCAAAACCCATGATGCCAGCACCCATTTTCAGAGCAGGTCCTTTGTAGTACTTGTCCGACCACTGAATGACTTCGCGATCCTTGAGGTTGCTGACACGAACGGCAAGGCCTCCGTAGCCAATGGATCGACCATAGAAGTCATGGCCCGTGTTCCGGATCACGAAACGAACGTTGTGCTTTTTTGAAAAAGCGAGGGCGGCGACGATATCTTTCGCATCTGAAGCGTCCACAGTGTATGAATTGTAGTTCCCAATGGTGCAAGGTTCGGTGCGGTTGGTGAATGGATCACACGTCTCACCCGTAAAGTAGGCTGTCATCAAGGACGATGTGGATTCGTAGCTGAAAATGGACGTTAGTACGACGAGACTTGGTATTGCTTGAGAATCGACGACATACTGGACCGCGACATCATCCCAGCTGGCCCTCAGCTTCTCACATGCAGCTTCATTGTACGTGGGGTCGTGACAGACAGCGCCGATGGGTTCGACTTTGATCAAGTGCCCGCCGACCGTCGAGTTCAGCTCTTTCCACTCCGACTGGCTCGGCCAGCAATCCTCTGTCGGAAGGCAGTGGCATGTTTTCGCAAAGCTCTTGGATGCGAAAGCCACCACACTGGCAGCGAGGTAGAGGGACCTCATGGCGGTCGTAGGTGGAGGTCTCGAGAACGGCGATGGTGCCGTGGGAGGTACTGTTTGGGCGGAGCAGATCAAGGAGACACGGCGAGAGGCAGAGAATCTTGTCCCTCAGAAGAACGCTCAACTTGTTTGTTCTCTCTAGTGGTGTACCTAAAAAACCGAGCGAAAGACAACAAGCCGAGCGCTGGCCATCAGAGGTTCCAGTCACGAGGGGCACAGACGAGAAAGCTACATGGCTTTATGTGAACTCGTTAAGCTCGGTCAAGACACGAGAGACTGGTACGACCGAGCGGTCGGAGGGACCCAACTCTCCGTCTCGCAGAGGACAGTGGAGGTCCAGGTCAGGGTAACCTCCTCCGAGGAGGCGAAGACTTGGGGCGCGATCCTCAGAGGGGCGGGAGTGCCAACGACACACCAGGGAAGCGAAGCGTGATGCTGAGTACATGCTGGTCAACGGGCGCAGCCTGGGCATCTGACCGGACCTCTCGTCGTTCGCGAGGTGAGAGAGGGCGCAGACTCAAGGTAGCCAAACAAGAGGCTAAGGTCATGGACGCTATTGACCATGTTGCTGCAGGAGCAAGGAACAAAGTCTGGCGGACAGCTTGACCTGCTGGTATACAGATAGAGGGTGGTGCATTGAGCTGCAGAGGGAAATTAAGTGAAGGCTAGAAAAGGCGACTGGAGTAGGCGATGATATGCAAGAGAGGCAAATAGGAAAGGTCTGATGAATCTGATGAGGCGAGTGTCTTGGGAGACCAGGCAAAGGGAGGAAGTCCAGGGATGACAGAAGCCTCCTGCCTGTGGTTTGGTCACCATAGTGAGCCATGGAAAGAGCGTTGG